GAAAAAAAAAAAAACCAGTATACAGCATATAGTATAACATCTCGCACCTCGCTCCCACGAAGGCGAAATGAAAGAACTCTAAACAGAAGAAAAAAACAAACGAATAGGGTGGGTTCCGCCACAATGAGAAAGTCAAGCATGCTTCGGACTTGTTGCTTTAGGCTTCCAACGACGCCGAGGGACTGTATTTCCGTAACGGTCCTCCGAGGGAGAAAACATGTTAGATCAAACCACATTGCACCTAGACTTTGGAACTTTGCTTATTCTGGCCTCAATTTTTTGTCCCCTACTGTATCGTGACTTGTGATGCGCTGTCGCCGTCGCGTCCCCGATGGCGTCGCCCACTTGCCTCGGGTAACCTCGGGTGATTGGAATATTTGACGCTGGCTAGCTCGCCCATGCAGTCGCTAGTCCTCCACCTTCCGCCCGCGTGCTAAACTTCGAATCTTTTTCAAAGCTCCACTTGGCGCTCGCGTTTGATTGGGCGAGCCGACAGCTGGCGGTTTCGGCGTATCTTGCAGGGTGAGAACCATTGCCCGATTTGCGATCCGGATGGCGTCGTCGTCGACAACCAGTGCCAGCAGCCTGTCGGGCTACCGTGGTCGCTGCCGCTACAAGAGCGGCCGCTGCCCCAACGAAGCGGGACGCTCAAGTACAACGGCGAGCAGGTGCACTCGCTCTGCGAAGAACACCGCATTCGGCACAACCGCAACCAGCGCCGAGCCGACAACCAAGCGCCGAAAAGACCGTGTGCACCAAAAAACCTGCAGCGGCGATTGAAACCGCGGTGGCCTGTGCTGCACGACGCGTCGCCGGCGAGGAAAGCGTCACCGCCGGATGCGACGTGGATGGCGGTGACAGAATGGACATGGGACGTCCTCAACGACGACGAGGCGCTGCCGCCGTGGAGCAACGAAGACATCCAGCTCCTCCTCGAATGCGTCGTTGATGCGCCGTCGAGCCCGTTCGAGATGCTTTGAGCCAAATGCGCCCCTTGATTTATCATCCCCGCCGACAACCTGTACCATAGCAATAAGAACTGCGGAATACACACTCGATATGCTACAAAGCTGGTCGGATTGCAGTTCCTCGTTCCGACGGCTTTGCAAGTCGATCCTTCTTTCGCAAGTTGATAGGCAAGTCGTCATCCTCCATCAACACGACCTGTCCGACACGGCAGCATAGGACGACATATCGTTAAAACACCAACATGATACTAGAAGTTGAGCTATTATAATAGCATGGTCCTCAAGGTACTCTCTCCTACTGCTCTCCTAACAGTATTCTGCGACAGACAGACGACAGCGACC